GTTGTATAGAAGATTTTTCGTAATTGATTAATCGAATAAAAATACAGAGTTTAAAATTTTGTTAAATATTTTGATTTATTTTTCTATTTAATTTTTTTGAAATATTAATTGAAAATATTAAATATAGATTATGATATGCTATATTATATATAGGATGTTAATATATTATTCCTAGAATATTGAAAAATTAATTTTAGACGAAAAACAAACACAAAAGTTGACATATAAAAATATTTGTTCAGCTTTATTTATTAATTTATAAACAATTTAATTTGTATTAAAATAAAGCGAGATAGAGATGATTCAATGGTATGGTAAGGTCTTATTTTATCTGTGTTTCTCTTCATCTTCTCTTCAAATTTTAATTGATTTTAACTTAATAAATAAAATCATATTTTAACTTTTAGGTTTATTTGTCTCTAAAATCGATCCTCTCACGAAATATATATTATTAACATTATATTAACATTCTCTATATAAAAGTATAATATATAGTATATATATAAAATATTACTGAATAAAAAATGATTCCATATGTAAAAATAAATCAAAAAAAAAAAAAATAACATTTGAAAGAAATAAAATCTCATTTTCAAAAAAATTAAGTTTGAAAATAGTATCGAATATACATGCACTTGATTCCAATTAATTCATTTCCTATTAAATTTTTTTTTCGCTTACATTTATATGTTCATTAATGTTATATATATAAGAATATATGTTAAACAGTTTATATGTTAAATAGTTGTAATGTATCCATATTAAACTTTCAAATTCAATTTTTTCGAAAACAAGACCTCAAACGAAAAAATATTATTCTTTTTAAACAGATAATTAACACACTATTTTTTTTACTATCATTTTATTTATCATTTCATTTTCTTGATTTTGAAATTTCATTTGATATCACATTTATAATCAAGATAGTTATATAGTTCTCTCTCCTATTTTGTTCTCCATTTCTCTTAAGTGGAAAATAATTTAATTAAATTTTAACAAATATTATATTTAATAATTGTTAATAAGTATCTTCTTGTTTTCAAGCTTAGTTTGAAAAAAAATTTGAAAAAATAATTATTTTGGAAAAATAAATATCTACTAGAAATTGTACAAATTTTTTTATACGAATTTTTTTATATCAAATTTTTTTTCATGGAATTGTTTGTGCATGTTTATATTTTTTTTATATTAAATTTTTTGAAGCTTTGTTTAAAGATATTTCTTCCAATCATAAGGCAAAAAAAAAAAATATAAAAATATTTGTTCATTAATTAAAACAATTATGTGAAATATACTTCAATTGTACAATTTCGTAAAATGTTCACATATACAATCTTAAAATGTTCAATTGTACAATCTTAAACAATAATATAATAATTTAAAATAATAATTTTAAGATTATTTACTGACATTTTATGAGAATTATTTGGAATAATTTGCATTTTTTTATTGATTATTATTAATAATTTAATAATTGATTATTAAATAATAAATTTTTATTAAAAACCAATAAAGTACGCAATTTTATTAATAATTATTTTAAAAATGATAAAATAAATATGCTTTTTCATATAAATGTTCGATAGAAATGATAATCAAATACTTAAAGCATGAATCAAAATGTAACGATTGGGATCAGTTAAAATTATCTGGACATATATCTACATTTGTAATAAAATTTTATATTTTTTGACTTGGCATTGAAGATAAAAATTTTTACGAGCAATGGTAGAGAATGTAATATTTTTAAATACAAATTTTTAATAATATCATAATATAAAACTAAAAAAAATTTATGAGTTATATTATATCATACACACATGTATAAAAATTTTTCTGCTAATTTTTTATATTTATTAAAATCTTAAAAATACATAAAAAAAATTTTAAAAATATCTTAAAAAAATAAAGAATTTTTTTTGCTCCAAACTAGCAGGAGATAACAAAAAATATAATTGATACTTTCTTATTTCAAAATATACAGAAAAATGAAAAATATTCCTATAAAAATAAAATTTTTTAGATGAAAATATCTTAACAAATAACGAAAATAAAATTGCTTACTTTTATTTACACTCAAGAAAGAAATAATTCTTCATAAATAAAAAAATGTTGATATTAAAATGAATATACAGACAAAATAAGAACTCGTTATCTTATTATTTTATCATCCATTATTTTTCATTTCAAAGTATCAAATAATATCAAATAGTAAAAAAATAAAAATAAAAATGCTTAATTTGTAAGATTAACAAATATTGTTATTAAAATATAAATAAGTATAATTTTCAAGATATTCAGAAAAATAAAAAAATATATACTAGTTTACTATGAAAAGATAATAAAAAACAAAATTATCTAATGCTTAGTCATATCAAGATCTTCTAAATCTGCAAAATTTCAAAGAACTTGGGATTTTCTAGTTAATTCTCTCTGAATAATACACTAAATGAAGTTACATAATGATATAGCAAAATAATACGATGAAACAAAGAAAAACAGTAGAAAACACACAACACGAAATAATTTACATGTTCGTTGTTACTCGACGCAATGCGACGCATGGAAAATTCATTGCAGCCCAAGCTTGGATTTTAATAATTTTGCATAATATATAAGCTCAAGTTCACTAATAGACGTATAAAATTGCAACAAGTTGCAAAAATTTAGCATGTAAATGGTCAAATTCAATATATTATGCATGACAGTGATAGAAAAAAAAAAAAGAAAAAGATAGACAAGACATTTAGAATAAATTAATTTTTTTACATTGCACGTATAATATTATTCATATCGTTGTTTTCAATATCGATTTATCCAGAAATGAAATTTCATGTGAAAAATCATCATTTTGTTCTATTTTTTCATATGGATTCACCCCTTTTTGAATTGCACTACCTTATATTTGTTGTAATTGGAAAATAGCATTGTTGTGGTAAAAATAATAAAAACTGAACTATAAACAATATATCATGCGTATCTGACACTGGTCTATAATCGAAACATTCGGAATAAATTTAATTGTTTATATAACCGAAAAATAAAAAACTATCAATGTGGCGAAAAATAGTTAAATTGAACATACAACGTATTTTTTTCGTACATGACAGTGGCCGATATCTAATAAAAGAATTTGCGATGTTTCAAAAATTCCAATTTATTTGGAAGTTTTATATCAGAAAAGAATTATTGGACTAATTTTTCTTTTTTGTCGTAATTTCGTTCCAGGTTAAAAAAGCTATTATACGTTTCCCCATTCCTATATGAATATCTTAAAAAAAATCACAAAGAAAAAATTTAATGGATTTTATACTGTTCTGAAAATATACAAATAAAATTATAAAAATAACAACAAAGGAAGGTTTATTTTTGTTTAAACAATTTTTAAATTTTTTTCTAATTTCTTGAATACCAAAGTTCAGAATAAATATAATTTACTTATAAAATTAAAAAAAATCACAAAAATATAAAAAATTCAATACTACATTCTTATTGAGCATTAGTATGCAACAAACAAATGTGTTGATTCTTAATGCTTACCTTGCTATAAAGTTAAATTACGCAAATGCGTGTAATTTTCAGTTGAAAATTCTATTCCAATGAGTTGTTCGTTACGCTATTACGTTCTATTAAAATAGAATTACGGAGCAGTAAACTTTTAATAAATGAAAAAAAAAAGAAAAAAATTGCCAGTATAACCAAACTGATAATCTTAAAGACGAATTAATAACATGTTATATTGTACACTTCGAATGCAATTTAAATAAAAAAAAAAAGATGAACAATATTCTTTCTTTTAATTAACATAATAAAAAACCAAATAACAAAACAACATCAACTATATTATAAACTTTTATTCTCTCTCGTTTAAATTAATATCGTATCGCTTGGAAAACGAGCGCGACGATCTACACAAAATATGCGCCGACCGAGTCTTCGAAAGCTCGTGCAACAATCACCAAGCATAATACTGGCGGCCTTTCATTTCGTTTAAGCACCTACACCCACACTCACCACATTCCCATACACCCTCGATCGGATCGCGAAAATGATGAGAGAAAACACCCGCGACAAAGAGGAATAAAAATTACGCTAGAGTTGTTCTCCACGACTTGCAACGAATGAATGTACAGGCTCGCGGATCAACGAGCCACATTCTAACTTTTCCTCGAAACAATGAGCGGAAAGGAAAAAAAGAAAAAAATTCTCCTCGAACCAGAAACCAATGATCATCCACGTACCTGTTCCTACCTCCAGTTTCTCGAGTCGAACGTCTCCTAACGTAAACGAGACGCAACGTGTACACGCGGACAACGAAAGAATCTTTCTTTCGTTTCGAAACAATACGAAAGGACGAAAAAAAAAAAGAAGAAGAAGAAAGACAAAAAAAAAAGAAGAAAAACGTCGGAGGAATAAAATAGGAAGGGGACGGGGGGGGGGGGGAAGGAGAGAGAAAAACGGACAAAAGTGTAACGCATCGCGAGCATCTACGAATGCTGGATGCGTACGCCGCGCGCCGTACGTCCTCCCTTTCATTCTTTGTGGCACCTGCAGCCACCCTTTCCAACCCCTACGACACGGCCATCCAACTGAAGCGAGACGGCCGATACGCGTCGGACAAGGACCGAGAGTGCGCCCGGTGGAGGGGATGGGGCGCATGCGCGGCAGGACCCGCGGGGGTTCCCCGGCGCGATCAGTCGTGGCCGGCGGTGCCGGAGGCCAAAGACTTTCGCGAGGGTGGACGCGCCGCGTTTTCTGCCGGACCTCTTTCGCTCTATCTACACCTATCTGTCCCCTCCTCTCCTCTCCTCTCGCCGCCGATTTACAACGCGGACTGGCCTCGGCCGCGCATGCATGACCCCGCACTGCCACCGCGTGCACTTTCGCGGTCGGCTGCATCGACATCGACATCGACCACGGCCGATCGCCGTGTGACAGAGGAACCCTTGCCTTTCCGCGGCTCGACGTCGTCGATCCTCGCGCGCGCACGATAAGAAACGAGATCTGTGACCGGGCCGAGTCGATCGAATGCGACCACGAAGACCGGCACGGTGTTACGTTTTCGGGGCCGGCGATTAAGTGTCGACAGTTCTGCGATTCCGGGTGCAAGGTTGATCCAGATCCAAGGGCATTCGGAATCGAACGATGCTGGCCAGCTGCCTAATCTTCGTGGGTAAGTTGTCTACGACCGCGTGTGCTGTCTGTTGACTTGCAGACAAATTCTCGCTCGTCTTTGTGAGTTGGAATGAAGGGGGAAGTGGTGTTTCGACGAGTTTTCATGAGAAATGGCGCGATCGAAAGGTGCTCGATTAAAAACTCTCGTGGATGTTTTTCGGTTCCGGATATGCATCGTTCCGTTGCGTCACACCGATGATCGATAAAATCTTTCTGGGAACTTCTAGCAACGTCGTTTCCATTTTTCCCCCAATTTTTTCGTTCCCTTCCTTTTAACGTGGATGAAACGACGAACCGATATCACGGATATCTCTGACGGGAGTCATCGGCGCGTAAAATTACCGCGAAAAAAGAAGACCGCGGATGCATCGACGGGTTTCCACCGAGTTTCCTGGTTTCCACAGTGGCTATTTCGGGGATACGAGCAGGTATCGTGTCGAGCAAACAATTGCACGTTCGTCGAGACACGAGCATAGGCCTCGGTGTTTCTAAAAGTTTCGTCTGGCTATGTGTATTGGAAACAAGATAACGGAGAACACGTGACACTCTTGTAAATCTAATTTGTGAAGGAGATGCGACGAATTTCTACTCCTATCGAATTGTGGGATCAAAACACTGCTTTCATTAACTTTTGTGCATGAACGCTCTTTGAAGGTTAGTGAGTGAATCATGCGTGAAAACGTTCTGCACGCTTGTCCATAGTTAGGACACGCTTCCTTTATGTAGAACGATCTGTACGTGACTTTTGAAAACAATCTGATCTGAAATCGTTTTGGAGATGTTAGAATTGTGCATTCATGTGTTTGTTTTTCTTTTTTTAATACTGGAATTATTAACTTCTAATATGAAGAATTAAAGTGATATGATAAAAATAATACAAATTTAGATGCAATAATATTTATATCTTAAAAGATATTTGAAACGAAATGTTTATTATTATTAAAAGTAGCTCTATCATTTCAGTAATTATGAAACGAAAAATCTAATATTTTTCGTATTTGAATTTTGAGAGTTTTAATGTTAAATTGAAAATTACAATTGGAAAAGATCGATTGATTTGATTAGTAAATCAATAGTGATTCAGTGAAATATTGGAGTTAATGAAAGATTGTGGCGATAAAGAATGAAAATTTTTGTATTTGGAATGGGAACAAAATGTTTGTAGAAGATTTGACATATTTGGAACGTTTGATTCTGATATGAATTCTTTTAATATATTTTTTTCTAATGATTAAATTTGCATAAAAAGCAATTTACAACATTTACATTGTTAATTAGATGTTATATATGAGATTATTTCTTTGACTTTTTATTATATATAAAATCATGAGAAATAGTATGTTTATATTTTCAATACATAAATGATTTAAAAAAGTGAAAACTCTTTGGATATATGTATATTTACGTCCAAAGTTTATATCGATAATATTCGTTCACTGCAAAGAGTTAATAAAAGAGTTAATATGCATTTATATAAATAAAAATGCTTCACGTATAAATAATGTTCTTATAATTTGAATTGAAGTTAAGGAAGAAATATTGTTTACTCCAATCACGGTTCTACTAAATATACTAGATGGAATTACATATATAACTTCAACATATAATTCTGATGACAAATAATGTGATTAAGTTGACGATTTTATATTGTTTCGATTCGTCATATCGATTAAGAAGCAAACAAGCAAATCAAATTCTCATTCGCGAACAACTTTATTTTTTATTTATAACGTACGTCATAACTAACAAGTATCAAACTAAATCGTATGGAAAAGAATTAAAACAATGTAGCATTAAATATCTCAAATGTTTTTTATGATTTTTTATATTTTAAAATAATAGAGAGAATTTCTAAAATATTTAAATTTTTAAAAATAATTGATTCATTATTTTTCCATGTTTTGAGTTAAAACAATATGGCATCAAATATTTCAAATGTTTTTTATAGGTTTTTTATTTTATATTTCAAAACATGAATGAAGAAACTGGAACATTTAAATAAACATTTTTTAAAATAATTCATTAATTTTCTATTTTTTTCGTAAATCTGTTTCAGTTGAAGTTTTTTGTAATTAAAATTTTTATAAAAAAATATAGAAATATCACAACAAAAAACTTTTCTGTCAAAAATTTTGTAGTTTAATAATGGGCCATCAAATTATATATTGTATGGAATATAATGATATACTTCTTAAAATTAGAGCAATTATCAATTATTTATATTAAATTTTTATTTTATTTTTATCTTGTTGCTCAAATATTATTTTTCTTGAATAATTTTCATTATTTCAGTTGTAGAACTTATAATAGTTTGTAGAACTTATTCTAATCAAATAAATTGATGTTCGAATACGATGGACTATACAAATAAATGACTTTCACTTTTTCTTAAATTTAAGAGTTAAATTTTCTTACGGTGATTATATTTGTTCGAGAGAGAACCGATATTCGAGAATATAGCGACTCTATTAAAGGAACAATAATCGTACGATGGTGAATTCGAACGAGTTCTTATTTAAATTCGAATCGAAAATCTCGGTATAATTGCTATCCGGTTAACGAAGTATACATATAACGTTGAATCTCTCATTATCCGAATATTCCTAAACATTCTACTCACTATTGAATTGTTTTGTTATCTAAACATCTTATTGTATAAATGATTTATTTGGTACTTTAACATTATTGAAATATGTCAATATTTTATAATAGAAAGGAATGTTTGATATTACATTAGAATCTTAATTATCAAAATATAACATAATGTTTTGAATTATCAATTCTATTTTATATACGATAAGATGTTATATTGATACTGGATATTAATATTGAACAAATAAAAAAGTTATTAGAATTTAACAATTTTCTTCATTTTAGTCTCTCAATCTTTTTTAACTAGGATTTGAGTCTTTTTCTTTATTAGTATTATTATATTCTTTATTATTTATTTATTTTTTGTTTGTACGTCAAATTATTTTAAACTTGTTGTCAAAGTAACAAATATTTTTGTAAAATCATATTATTATTATATTTATTTTCATTCTCTTCCTCTTTTACAGTGTCTTTATTTTCCATTTATTTTATTACAGAATACATTACATTTATAACATTATATATTTGCAATTTTTGTTATAGCTATTTAATTATACTACTTTTATCTGAACTTCTTCAGATTGATATATTATATAAAATATATATCTAAACATTTTGTTAATTTGTCTCAATCAATATCATCGATATTTTCTAACTTTTTAAATAAGTTAAAAGATTCAATTCTTGATCCATTGGTTATATCAAAGACATTATGAATCGCACATTGTTAAAAATAGTAAATGTATCGTTTTGAAACATCTGTAAAAATTTATTAATATAACATTTTAAAAAATTAATGATATATATATAAAAAAAAGTTATTATGAAAAAATAAGTACAAAATGCAAAGGAATGTCTTATCATCAACGACTTCAGAAACAGAGAACAACAGCTAACCTCTTCTATCCATAATGTAAATTCGTTTACTTTATCTAACATATCTATGCGATGAATGATATATTTTTTATTATTATTTTCTGTTGATAAACATTATTTTACAATTCGTACAAATATATCTATGAATTAATTACTCTTCCTGAATTAATATCCTGAGAACAATTTATATTTGAATAACGAATGTTATATTTGAATAAAGATCAATTACTTATTGAAATAAAGAATAACATAAAATTACAAAAAAAAATTTTGCGAATCTTTTCATAGATATACAATCTTCGTTTCCAGAGCAATAGATTAAAATTCATCATTCGTTTAATATCATAGTTTTAAGGAATTATAGAAAAGTTACCTCTTCTCTAATTTTGATATAAATGAAATACTGAACGATTTTTTCTTATGTATAAAAAGATCGATCTTTACTATTATAAATTAAAATTTCGCCTATGCATATATATCCTATGTATTATAAAATATATATCAACATGCGACTTATCAACTGTTTAAATAAACACACCACAGTAGTTGACATTAAAAATGTATAACGACTAAACTAATATCATCACATTTCTCTATCAATAACAAACTTGAAGGGATCCATGGAATGCTTAAATTTATACAAATATGATAAAAGTAGTTCAGCCGTCATATATTTAGAATATCGCTGTGATTTATTAATACAATAACGTATATAGTAATGTATAAACAATTAATAAGTTATAATATAAGAATATATATAAATTCAATATTGTAGTAGCAATCGTAGCAATTGTTTATATTAATATCTCGAAAAGAGAAATAATCGATTATTATAAAAAGAAAAGTTACTTAAGATGATGTCCTTGAAAATTTATATCAAAACTATCTCTTCTATAAGCATATTCTATTTCTAGTTTCTAGTTTCATCTCTTTATTCTAGTTTCATCTGTACACAGATTCAAAGAGATAATTTTTTCATTAATAAATTGAAAAATTTATATTAAACTCATTATCAGTAGATTTATTTGCGAAAAGTTTTCTATCTGATATCACAAATTTTATTTATATATAACGGTATAAAGTTTGAAAGTTTAAAAACTTGCTCTGAAAGTTGGATTTTTTCCTAATTTTTAGTTTAAAGTTAACTCTTTTTATAATAGATCTAGATAAAAATAAAGATTACGTCTATCAGATAAAATTATTTAAATACTACAATGTAAATATGTATGTATAAGTATAATTTGCTTGATAAATTCTCTTTACAATTTCTCGTTTCTTCTTTTTTCTATTTTATATTAGAAATGACATGCTAATTCCATATTCATCAACTAATTTGAAATAATAGCTTCGCCATGATTTAATCTATTTATTATAACTATTATAGTAAATTTATTTAAACTATTATATAAATAATTATATTATTATTTAATCTAGCTAGTTTTTAGTTACAAAAAAAAAATCTCAGAGAAAAATCTCTATAATAGCACGATAAACGATTAATTAGAATACTACAATTACTCTGATTACATA